TCATAAATCTAAAGTTCAGTTCAGGTTCAGATTCAATGATCTGCAAAATTTGTGGTTCAGGTTCAGGTTCAGGTTCATTGAATCTGAACCTGAACTGAACTGAACTTCGGAACACTACTACAAAGACTTTACTTGTCTGTATTGCAATATTCCAAGCCTTATCAATTCAAATTTAAGAATTAACATTTTCTTTCGATACTGCATTTCTTGATAAGTAGAATTATCACTTTGTTTGACCTTACTGGGTGGCCAAAAAAAGGTGAAATATGGTATCAAAATGTACTATTAAATTTATAGACAATGGTGTGCATATATATGTATGCACTTACATACTTATATACATCTCCTGCCACCAGATCCATGGTAATATACTTTGATTATATTGTTGACCTTTTTGTCATCCCAATTAAGTTTTCTTCTTCTCTTATTGTTTTTTTTATTGTTACAGATTTTCATCTAACTGTATTTGTTATATAATTATAATCGATATATATTATTAGTAATATAAATTGATATATAGCTGATAATTGATATATATTATATAAAAAAATCGATAACAAACAACTCTGCTAGTAATAATCAATACAAATTTTCAAAAAAAATTTCTAATGTTACTTGAATCATGCCAAATAGATTTCAATTATTTCAGTTCCTTAGATTTAAATTGCTTAAGAGCTTTTATTTTGAGAATGTAGTATCAAAATAACAAATGATATATCTAACTAATTGTTAAATAAATATTATCAGTACATAGATCTATTTTTCTAAAAACATCTTTAGTGAAATTTGAATCTGATGTTTAGAAAATAATATAACCACTACTTTAAGTCACCACATCCTAAAAAAATTTATTTAAATATTTTAAAATTTAAAAAAAGTAAATTATAAACCCCTCTATAATTATCTTCTCTATAATTTTTTTTTTTATTGTTAAGGTGACTACTTGGGGGTCTGGCACATTTATTAACTTTGGTTGCAAATGCCAGAGCAGCCACAAGACTACCCCTGACTTTGTTATATTAATGAGAATACATTCTAGCCATATCTACATCTTTTGAATGTCTAATTAAGTAGTTCCCTATTACTAAGTACAACACTAGATACCGTACCTATAACCCACTATTACTTGAGTTACTCAATTAAACCTTCTGATCAACTTAGTGCTGTCAGATATTCTCCCCAAAGAGGAACTGCCACTAAGGCCCCTTAGAACTAATTTATTCTCATAGTAAACCTACTAGAGCAGTTTATGTCCCATATATAAATTATCTAGATTTTCAGTAACTTATATCTAGGCCGAGACCAAGTACTTGTGGTATTTCTCCGCTACTGTTATCTACTCCTTGTCCTTGCAAAGTTCACTCAGATCTCAACACACACTTTACAGACTAATACCGACTTTCCTTCACCAACAGTATTCTAAACTCCCAATCTAGATAGCCCGAAAAGAGATCAGTGGGTGTTTTCTTGGTATTCTGATTGAATTCAGATAGCCCAGGGAGAGACTAGTAGATGTTTCCTTGGTATTCTGATTGAATTCTTTTTCCTTATTTATATAGGGCCACCCCCGTATACTCATGGCCTGGTTGGTATTAGTGTCTTGCCAAACACTCGGTCCACGTCCAGTTTACTGCTGGTGTCTGATCATCAATGATCATTCTTTATATAGTATCGTCAAAGATCTGTGCTACCTCTTTACTCAGAACTTGCCAAGTGGGATTCTGTGTGCCCTAGCCCTTGTATTTACACAAACATTTACTTAGGTTTCATGTAACTTTTGTGTTATACTATTGTTCTATGTTCTTGCAGTACAAGCTGATATGACCAAGGCTACAGATCCAATGATTTATCAGATTACACACAGTCTGCTGTAACACATTCTTTAAATTCGAATTCCGTTGCTGGTGGAATTTAAACTCTTGTCCTGCCACTTGGGAGTGTAACAACCTTCTCTATAATTATATAATTACAAATTTATTGTTACCAATTATTTATGACTACAGTATATGGGGTGCCTTGTATTAAAAAGGCCCATTTTGACATATAGTTTATTTTGAGATAATTGAGTTTAAACATTTGTTTTGATTTTCAGACTAATTCAGGATTAAATAAATTTTATGATTTTGATTGGTTAAAGGTAGCAGATGACTATCAGGTAATCTTGTGATGTGCCTGGCCTTTGGCAGCATTGTGTAATTTTTCTTTTACATTATCTCCATTTTTTATTATGCAAATCGACCTTCATTTATAATTAAAAAATGTCTATCACATCAAAATTTACATGAATCTAATAAAAACTTAATTTTTGAAAAAATTACAAAATAGACCTTTTTAATACGAGACACCCCATATAGAAAATACCTTTATATTAGTCACATCTCTTTATAATTACAGTATTTTGTATTCCAAAGGTGTGACTATAAAGAGGTTTGAATGTACATTTATAATAAATTTCCAGGCAAATTTGCCTGAAAAAGTTTACAAATTAAGAAATATTATCAAAAAATTATATAAAAAAATAATCAATTTCCAGGCAAATTTGCCTAAAAAAGCCTACAGATTAAGGGATATTATCAAAAAGTTATATAAAAAAAATAATAGTTGATTAGTTTTTGTCATTTTAAAAGATTTTCTAAGATATACAAAATAAGAACTATGTATATAAATTATTTTTCTTTTCAACAGTGCTTACCTTGCTAAATTATTCTTTCAAAGGTTTTGTTTTTTTAGTGACGAAATTTAGTCAACATAGTGATCTTGTAACCTTCGTAATGCTTATTTAAAAACATATCTTCGCTAGGTAAAACGTATTATAAAAATTGGGGATTAAGGATTAAAAAAAAAAATATGTTATAATACAGCACGAAAGCTTTAAGTTTGCTTATTCAATTGTGCAACAATATTGTGTAACATCGACGGTTCAATATACATGACCAGATTTTTCAGGGGTTGGAACGTAGTAGCAATGTTAATCCTTAAACGTTAATTATTCACTCAGCATTATAGAGAACTAACAAGTCAGTATACTATTACTCGCGTGATGTCTGAATATTTATCAAAGGCAGCAGCGTTCGCCCAGAATGCTGCAAAGCTGTCGAAAAAAGTATCCGAAGGTATAGTTGAAAATGCACGCGAATTTGGGCTAGAAGCGACTTCCTCGGGACATTATTTTGATACTTCAGAAGACAAAATGCGCGATATCAAACGACAATTAGACTCGAGACATGATCGCGAAAAGATGGATGGATTAAAAAGATTAATTGCGGTATACTTTGAAATTTTAAAGCTAACTGTCAAGTATTTCGGTCCTTGATTATAATGTGACGAAATTTCCTTTCATTATTTGTATGACTAGATGATTTCAAAGGGTCGCGATGTGTCCGAGTTCTTTCCAGATGTTGTAAAGAATGTGGCATCTCAGAATCTTGAAATTAGGAAACTTGTTTATATATATTTGCTTCGATATGCTGAGCAAGAACCTGATCTTGCGTTGCTGTCAATTAATACATTTCAAAGAGACTTGACTGACCAAAATCAGTTGATAAGAGCAATGGCCTTACGAGTAATGTCTGGCATTCGGGTTCCTGTCATTAGTCCAATAGTATTATTAGCAATCAAAAAGTGCATGACTGATTTATCTGCATACGTAAGAAAGACTGCCGCACACGCTATTCCAAAATGTTATAGGTATGAATTTTTAAAATCTTTTTATAACTTTTTATTTGAACATCGATTTATACCACTCACATATTGTATGCTTTTGTTCCTGCCAAAAGCCTTGATCCATCGCAAAAAGATGCATTAGTCGATATCATTACTACTCTCCTTAATGATAATTCGCCGTTTACAATTGGTAGTGTAATAACAGCTTTTAATGAAGTGTGTCCTGATCGTTTAGATTTAATACATCCACACTACCGAAAACTTTGTCGGATGTTAATTGATGCGGATGAATGGGGCCAAATTGCCATTATGGGCTTACTGCTACGATATGCAAGGTATATACCATAATACAAATCAAAATTTTTAATGATAAAAGATCTATAATAATTCGTTGTGATATACAGGACACAATTTTTGAATCCAAACCCAGATGTAAGCATGAATATTTACATGTTATTTAAGCAAATTGTGAATGAACTTCTTAACCTTTCATTTTAGAATAATCGGGTTTCTCAAAAGAAAAAGTCAAAGGCGTTTTATTCTGATGAAGATTCTGACGATTCGGATAACTCTCTTGATAATTCTTATGCCCTTGACCCAGATCATGAACAATTACTAAGAGATTCTTTACCTCTCTTGCAGAGCAGAAATAGTGCAGTATGTTGATACATCTGTTATAAAATATCTACCACCTAGCGGATTAAATGAATAACATCTCTTCATATAGGTAGTATTATCAGTTGCAAAAATTTTCTATCATTTAGCACCAACCGCGGATGCTTACAAAATAAGCAAACCGCTAATTAGGCTGCTACATAGCCACCGAGAAATTCAATATGTCGTATTAGCTAATATCGCCACAATGGCAACGCAGCGACCTGTATGTGTTAAGGTTTTTTTTTTAATTAATCGTTAATAACTAATTTTAACAATAATTGTCAAATAATTATTGCGGCAGTATCTTTTCGAGCCCCATTTGCAACAATTTTTCGTACGATCAACAGACCCTGTTTTCATCCGTAATTTAAAAATGGAAATTATGACATTAGTCGCGACCGAAAGTAATATAACCGGAATACTTAGAGAATTGCAGGTTTAGTTGTTTGTAATTGTAAAACGATCTTAGCAATAGGTATTCACTACAATGCTAAATCGAATTTAATAATTAATTATTTAAATAATTAGGAATATGTGAAAAGTCCTAATAAAGATTTTGCGACTTCTGCAATTCGAGCTATTGGCCGATGTGCAATAGGAATGCCAGAAATGGCCGAAAGTTGCCTTAATGGTTTAATGAAATTATTGTGGAGCAAAAATGGTCTGTTAATTCTCTTTTGCTTAAGCTGATTGAAAAATCCATAAGTAAAATATTGAAATATATAATATTACTTTTAGATGCTGTTGTTGCAGAGTCTGTTGTAGTAATAAGAAGACTCTTACAACTACGCCCTCAAGATAATGCAGATATGATAATACAACTTGCTAAAGCTCTAGATCATATAACGGTGCCAATGGCCAGAGCAAGTATATTTTGGCTTGTTGGTCAATATTCACAAAATTTGGAAAAAGTTGCTCCGGATATATTAAGAAAAGCTGCAAAGACATTTACAACTGAAGCAGATGTAGTGAAATTGCAAATTATCAACCTTGGTGCCAAGCTCTTATCACTTCATTCCACAGACCACACACTGAACCTTTTATTCCAATACGTTCTTAATCTTGCCAGATATGATCTTAATTATGATATCAGAGATCGTGCAAGACTTCTCAGAAGCTTGATTTTAGCAAGCGAGAAAAAAGATTCCCACATTAATAATATGGGAGTGGAGGGTGTTGAAGAAGCAATGCGGTCAGAAGAGTCGAGTAAAAGCACTATATTGAAGAACAACTTGAAACGGATACTATTATGTGAAAAGGAGGCGCCTTCGGAAGAAAGCCCATCTGTGGGTAAATAAAAGAATTTTTTTTATCATTTTATTAGACTTTATCTTTAAATTTGATGTTTTTTTTTAAAATGTTATCAAATGTCCAGGAAGAGGCAGGTTCACCATAGGATCCATGTCACTTGTCTTAAATTACTCTGTACCTGGATATAAATCTTTACCTGATTGGCCAACCGAAAAGCCAGACGGCTCCGTCAGAGAAAATTTGGTAAATTTTCCTTTGTATTCATTTAAATAGCCTGGAAAAAATGGCTAAATTTAATTGTACGCTTAGGACGATACATGGAATAGAAACCAATACATTAAAGGATTCGGAAGTGATTCATTTGGACGGTTTGTTCCGTCATCAACTTACGATAAACTCCCTGCCAAACAACGCAACGAGACATATGATTCTGAAAATTTTTACGACGAATCATCTGATGATAATAGAAATTATAGTGAAAAGACAGGTAAATTAAGTTTGCTGTTTATTTCTTAATATAAGCTAAATAAACGTAACATTATCTTTTTACAACACAAATTTTGAAATAGCTCTTCGATATGACTCAATCGAGGATAACACTTCAGATGAAGATGAGGATACTAGTGAAGAATATGAAGACGAAGACGAAGACGAAGCAAGTGACTCATCTGGAGAAGAAAGCTCGGAGGCAGAAACCTCAGAGGAAGAATAAGAGGTACATTATTTTAATTATGTTATTAATATTATTTATAAATCTCATAATTTTTCGCGTTGCAATTTAGAAAATATAAATTGTACTCGAAATTAACAGTTAAGGTTAGAAGAATTTGTATTTTATTTTTCAAATTAAAAAGTATTTACGAATTATACATATTAATAAATAATAGAGAAATATATTTTAAATAACCTACAAGTTAATTTTAATAGATAGTATTTTATCTAAAAAAAATCGTATTTAACTATTTGAATTGTTTTATATACTTCATCTTATTGGGTTTAACCTTTTGCAATTGTTTTATAATGATATTTGGTCTAAAGCAAGAACTTCTAGATAATTATTTGTTATATGAGTGTCGCTAAAAGAAAACCCGAAAATTTAAATATAACTTGTATTTAAATTTTCGGGATTTCTTTTAGCAACACTCATATATTTTACAACTTTTTAACTTTAATCAATACGATGATTAAATTGTTTGATTAAATGGGTATAAAACTATATTCAAAATTTAAACTAATTTTTATTTTGAAACAATGCACTAGCAATATAGTAAAAAAAAATTATTTTACAGTATATTATAGTAGGCATTATTTTCTCTTATAATGGTTTAAAATGTTATATATATATATAATAAATAACGGCATTGTTAAATTACACCACTGGTGTTCAACACCACTATATTTATAACTCAAAAATTTATCTATGAAACTATTTTTGAGGCTTCAACAAAAAAAATTCCTTGTAAAATTTTGGTATAAACTATACCTCTGCCCCATCCCAAGCCTAAGTCCTAACTCTAATACTGTATTAGCTTATATCGAAAAATTGTAAAACGATAGTGAAATATATAAGTTATACAAAATTCAAGTAAAACAGTTAAATAAATCTTTTTAGAATAAACTTAAAGAAGTAGTTTCCAATTATTACTAAGTAAATAAAAAGAAAACTCTGTTTTATTTTATTTAATAAAATATAAATAAAATAATCTAAATAAATTAATAGTTAAGATTATGTAAAGCTCTTTTATTTAGCACTTTAAGTTGATTATAGATTTAAAATAAAAAGTTAATAAAGCAATTAAGCATGAGATATATAAAATTTTAGAATTATATATATAATTTTTTTTTGTAATTTAATAATTTTGCTTCTGTTTATTTAAGACTAAGCTGTTCAAGAGTTATATATCTTTCTATAGCTATTGCTAATCTAAGGAATGTAACAAAAATTAGGTGATTTTTTAAAAAAAGAGAAGGATAAAAAATTTAAAATTATATATAAAGATCTGATCAAGATATATATTAAGAGAGAAAGAAAGTATAAGCTTCTAATAAAAAAATCAAGTGATAAATAACACTGCTCTAATTAAACAAGAAACTTACCTCTAATTTTTGTTTAAATGCAACCTGCCTCAGTAACTATTGATCTCTCTCTGAGTTTTTAATTTATTAAGAACTTTTTTCTCTTTAGTTATAAGCTAGCAGTTATATATCTTGTCAGAACTACCTATTTATATTTGTATTCTATAATGTAATTGTGTTTTGTTTATAGTCAGTACTTGTGAACAATATAAAATATTGAATTGCTAATTTTATAATAAGATTATTATATTGTATGTTTTTATTCTATATATTTTATTTATTTTACTGTACTTAAAATTTTATTTATTCTTCTATAATCATTACTTTTTGATACATGTAAAGTATTATTAATAAATAAAATCATGGGCAAGATCCCACCTTAACACCAAAAAAAAAATATATATATAATCATCACTTTTCATTTTTTATTTTTCTTGCTTTTTTTTTTTAATAGTAATCTGCTTTTGCATTTTGGCTTCTAATTTTTTTTTATATTTCTTCAAATTTCTACATTCTGCTTTATTGTTCTTCTTCTTAATTGATGATCTGTGAGTTAATAAAACAAAACATATAGTATAACATAATTCAGATTACTATATAAATTACACATGCCTCGAATGCTACGATCACTCAAGGAAAACTTTTTTTCTTATTAAGCTAATTGACCTTCTGTATTATGAGAAAGTTGTAGAGCTCATTAAGATGCATAGCAGGTCGAGAGTTCAAATTCCACCAGAGACATTTTTAAAAAAATAGACCTGTGTTTTGATAACAATTATTTGATGATTAGTCATTTGTAATCTTGATACTATCATCTTAAAATAGAAGCTTTTGGATGATCCAAATCCAAAAAACTAGAATAATTGAAACCCGTTTGGTAAGACCTGAGCAAGAAGGTAGTGAAGATTTTTGATGATATTACAGAAAGCTAAAAATCAGAGACCAAAGAACTAGACAAAAATCTTAAAGCAAGAAGGATTTACTAACCTGGCTGCTAAAGTCATATTAGAGGAAAAGGTTTTATGCTATAAATTAAGAACCAAGGGAAATAAAACTGAAAGGCACTTAAAGCCTAGGTATAACAACCTATCTGGGCTAACTAGTTTAGTAATTTGGAAGAGATCAGTATTAGAACCAGTTTAATATAGGTATCGGAATTAGAACAAATCTTGTAAAGGTATCAAATACTAGAAATGTGCAGTTTAATAATTAGCTCTAACTGCTAGTAGTAGTTTAGCTGCTGCAGAAGGTATTCATTGCCTAATCTAAAAATATATAAGATATAAAAAGATTAGGGAGTATGTACTACACCTCCTCTAGAACAACCTAGTAGTATAAGACTCTACTAGATTATCTATAGAATTAGGGTCAAGTAATATAGTACATGTCAATTTGAGTAGTCTTTAACTGAAGCAGTACGAGATTATAAGCTGGCATAATTGAGATAGTGGTGCAGGATGGGAGATATTAGAGAGTTTAATTGGATAATTCAAATAATAGTAGGTTATAGATATAGTCTCTAGTATAGACTCTAGTAATAGGTAGCTACTTAATTAAATGCTCAAAAGCTATAAGTATAGCTAAAATATACTTTTGTTAACCAAGAATGTACTCTTAAATATATCTAATAAAAATTTACCTTTTCACGATATTGCAAAGATAAAAAAAAAAATTTTTTTTACTATTCTATATTTAATATTTTTTTTTTAATTCTTAGCTTTTGCTATTTTTTTACTGCTATATTTTGTAAGAGATTTCTTTTATTTTTATTATTATCTGTTTGAATTTTAGTTTTTCTACTCCATTTAACTAAAGAATTCTTTTTTTTTCTAGTTTTTAATCTTGTCTTGTGTCTTCTTTAAACTGCTTGATATATATTTTCTAATATATACTCTAATATATATATATATATATTTTTTTTTTCTTTTTTGAATATTAATGGTGAGACCATATCTCTGTCTTTATTGAAATTTAATTAAAATCTTTTATACAGAAAAGAAT